GAGGTGTTTAAGTCCTGGCTTGACAAAGCCCTGGCTGGGATGACTGAGTTGGGGTTGGTCCTGCTTTGGGCAGGGGCTGGACTCAATAGCCTTCTGAGGGCTCTTCCATCCTTTGGATTCTAACCTGAGGGACCAGGCTGCCTTCTGGACAGCTCAACCCTTGGGGGAAGACTGGCAGGAGAGGTTCCTGTAGAAGCAGGAGGCCTGTATCGGGAATGGGTCCCTCCAGGGGAAATGGAGTTGTGGGTTCCCCAAAAGTACTGCCACAGGCTGCTGGATCTGGCCCATGATTCTCAAGACACCAGGGGCTCTAGCACATCAGGCACACAATACATATGCAAAGCAAATGTTACTGGTCTGCCAAAATATGTGCCCCAGAGCCCCTGCGAACAGCCAGCTTCAGCTGATGCAGCTGTGAGCCACTGGTCCTGGAGCAGCCGGCATGGGCGTGGCTGGCACTCAGCTGTCCAGAGGTTGGGAATCGTTGTACGGAGGTAGTCTCCAACCTTTTTAAGTACAAGATCACTTTTTGAATTTAAGGCAGTTCAGGACCTACCTCCAACCCCAATACCCCTGCCCCGCCCCTTCACCAAAGCCCCGCCCGCCTCATTCTGAGAAGATGGGGTACAGGGGAGGGAGTCAGAGGGAGCCTCCCCCAACCTGCACAGCAAGCAGGCGGCTCCCAAGGGACAGCTCTGAGGCTCTGGGCAGGAGCAGCAGGGCAGGGTGCTGGCACTTGACAGCCTCCCAGCCAAACCACTCAGGATCACCTGTCAGAGGCTCCTAAGATCTGCTGGTCCAGCCCCATCTACTGATGGGGACCACTGCTGTAAGGTGTGCCTGTGCCGCCATCTAGTGACCACCTGGAAAAGCAAGCAATGGAGAGAGCACAATGTGGCCACGGCCCTGGTGGCAAAAATCCTGCTCCACTGCCCCTGCAGTGGCTTTGGGGGCAATGGGGAGCAAAGGTCCCAGCCTCCCCTGCATCCGCCCCTGGGAGACTCCAGGGCTGGGCCATCATGTACATAAAGGGGCCTCTGGTGCAAGGTCACAGACAGGCTCCAGGACTCACCCTGGCTCTCCGCCTGATGCTACAGCCCCAGCTGCCGACTGTTGCTGGGCAGGTTCTCTTGAAATCCTGGCCTGGACCCCACAGGTAAGCGGACTGTGTCCACGAAAGCTCATGATCCCATCTCCGGCTACGTGTGGACTGGCATGACTTTCCACAAATGCTTTTAACGGAAAAGTTTTCTGTTAAAAGCATTTGCGGAAAAGCGCGTCTAGATTGGCACGGACGCTTTTCTGCAAAAGCACTTTTTGCGGTAAAGCGTCCGTGGCCAATCTAGACGCGCTTTTGCGCAAGAAAGCCCCGATCGCCATTTTTGCGATCGGGGCTTTTTTGCGGAAAACAAATCTGAGCTGTCTACACTGGCCCTTTGCGCAAAAGTTTTGCGCAACAGGGACTTTTGCCCGAACGGGAGCAGCATAGTATTTCCACAAGAAGCACTGATTTCTTACAGGAGATTGTCAGTGTTCTTGCAGAAATTCAAGCGGCCAGTTTAGACAGCTGGCAAGTTTTTCCACAAAAGCAGCTGCTTTTACGGAAAAACTTGCCAGTCTAGACACAGCCTACATGTTTTGTTAGTCTGGAAAGTGCTGCCAGACCACTGGTTGTTTCTTTAAGTTTACCCTGTGCAGACTAACTTGGCTACTCCCTGAAGCTTAAGATACCTGGCCTTCCTGCCTCAATCCGTGAGCCTCTGCCAAGCCAGGGCCTGGTGTCCCTCTTGCTCCTGTTTTCCCCTTCCCTGGTGCCTGCTGGGGGCTTCCAGCGAGGGATCCTGCCACACGAGCCCTGAGAAGCCCAGAAGCTCTCAGTATGTGAGTACGTACTTAGTGATCCTAGTCTTACTCGTGTACAGTGGTTAAAGCCATTTAAACATTTTCCTGGTACGGGAGCCCAACTGGTATGGGGCAGAAGAAGTGAGGCTGGAGCCAGCCAGCCCTTGAACACTACATGGAGTGCACCATCTGGGGTTCTGGCTGCTGCTGCAGTAGCCCCTCAGCATCTGCTGTGTATGTGTCATCACTGGCAGCTACTTTTTACCTCTACGCTGTACCAGCCCATACCAGCCCCCTTTCACCTGTGCTTACAAATGGGCTCTGAACTTGTCCAAGAAGGTCAAACACAGTCCAGTGTCTGGAACTTAGTTTAGGCTAAACTCATTGGGTGCGTCTAGACTGGCATGATTTTGCGCAAAAGCAGCTGCTTTTGCGCAAAATCTTGCCGCTTGTCTACACTGGCCGCGAGTATTTGCGCAAGAACACTGACGTTGTAATGTACAAAATCAGTGGTTCTAGCGCAAATGCTCTGATTCTCCCGCTCAGGGATAAGCCCTCTTGTGCAAGTATTCCTGTGCAAGAGGGCCAGTGTAGACAGCAATGTTAATTTCTTGCACAAGAAAGCCCGATGGCTAAAATGGCCATCGGAGCTTTCTTGCGCAAGAGAGCATCTACACTGGCACGGATGCTTTTGCGCAAAAGCAAATCTTTTGCACAAAGGCACATGCCAGTATAGACACTCTCTCTGCGAAAATACTTTTAATGGAAAAACTTTTCCGTTACAAGTATTTCCGCAACATCATGCCAGTCTAGACGCAGCCATTCAGAGTGGGAATAGGTGTATATTTGGAATAGTGAACGTAATTAACCAATGGACTGATTTCCAGCAGGGGCATGGTGGCTTCTCCCTCTCTGACCATTTTTAAAACAAGAAGGGATGTTTTTCTAACAGCTCTGCTCTAGGAATTCCTTGGGGACCTTCTCTGGCCTGTTACAGGAACAGTCAGATAGATGATCACAGTGGTCCCCGCTGGGTTTAGACTCTCTGCTCTTGATGAACATACAGCTTGGATAGCACAGTGGCAAGACTCTAGAAATCCCCAAATCTGCCCTGTGCAAGGCATGCTAAACTTCCTGCTCTGCAGCTGGGGGTCATTCTGCACAGCCTGCTGAGCATGCTAACAATGGATCAGTGCTAACCAGGACTGACCAGGCCTGTGTGCTTTCCAGTAGCTTTTTGTGGTAGCCAGCTGTTCCTTGTAGATGGCTGCACACAAGTCTCAGTCCAGAGAACACCTGGGCACAGCAGGAGTGAAATCATGGGAGCACTTCCACAGTCTGTCAAGTTAGCAGCTAAGCTTCCCTCCAATCCAGGAAATAGACTCTGCCCTTTTCTCTCACAATAAGGTGGATTTTCTGACCTTAAATGTCACTTGCTGCTCTACTCTGAACGTTCCCCATTTGCCAAGATCGCTTTAAGTATGCAAATGAGGCTAAGTGTGGAATATTGCTGAGCCTCATTTGCATACCTAATGAGCCACCATCTTTGTGGAAGAGTCTCTTGCGCTTAGAAGGAGCTGTCTACACGGCCCCTTCGCGTGCAAGAAAAACCCTCTTGCGCAAGGCTGTTAGTCCTGAAAATAATCAGCGTAGCGTGAGGGCACACGGCAGCCCATGCACATTCATGGGCTAATTCAGCATGAAGCAGTTGTGTTAATCTATATGTCAATAGCTCCCAGACCCCACAGGGTAAGAGACAGGGCCTTCCCCAAAGAGCTTAACACACAAGGGGGGATGGGAAAAGAGGCCTCAAAATTTGCTCAAGGTCCTACTAGAGGACAGTGGCAGAGCCGGAAACAGAGCACGGAGTTGGAAACTGTCCACTACAGTGAGGTCCTGCTGTGGCCACCAAAACTTATGAAGACCTTGGGCTCCCTGCGCCTACTAACTTTCCGAGTACGTCTAAACGGAAAAGTTTTCTGTTAAAAGCATTTGCAGAAAAGAGCGTCTAGATTGGCACCGACGCTTTTCTGCAAAAGCACTTTTTGCGGAAAAGCGTCCGTGGCCAATCTAGACGCGCTTTTGCGCAAAAAAGCCCCGATTGCCATATTCGCGATCGGGGCTTTTTTGAGCAACACAAATCTGGGCTGTCTACACTGGCCCTTTTGCGCAAAAGACTTTTGCCCGAACGGGAGCAGCATAGTATTTCCACAAGAAGCACTGATTTCTTACAGTAGGAAGTCAGTGCTTTTGTGGAAATTCAAGCGGCCAGTGTAGACAGCTGGCAAGTTTTTTTGGAAAAGCAGCTGATTTCCCGGACAAATTGGCCAGTCTAGACACAGCCCCTCAGTGTTTGACTCAGCCCCATTGCTATGGGAGGAGGAGAGAGGCTTTCCTGCCCAGCGCAAAGGCCCAGGGACAGCAGGACAGGGGCCTGGCTGACTTTGCCAGAGGCTCCCCACCCCGACAGGGAAGCCCAGGAGAGGTGGCTCCTTGGTGCGCTGTGCCTAGCTTGGCCGGGGTGATGCGGGGGTGCACAGGGAGGCAGGGTAGGAGCACTCTCTGCTTGGCCCTGTGGGGTGAGCTGCATGATGCTGGCCAGAGTTTAGATGGAAGCAGGAACCTCTGTCATCCAGAGAACATGAAAGGACCCTCGCTGGCCCTGGCAAGTGACCCTGGACACGCAAGCGAGTCTGGGCCCATCTACTGTTAGCATGTGGTGCCTGCCCTGGGCAGGCTGCAGTGGCAGCTCCTGCTGTGGGACGGTCCATTGGGAGCAGCAGGCCCCACTGAGCTTCTGCCCCAGTGCTACCAAGCGGCCCCCTGCTCTGCTGCAGCCGGGCAGGGCCCTCATGCCACCCCAGACAATCGTTCACAGCCTGGGGCAGGGCTGGCTTCTGCCAGGAGTGCAAGGGGCACAGGGTCACACCAACAGGGCACGGTTCCCCCTCACAACTGGCCTATTGAGACCCTGAGCTCAGGGGGAGCCTCAGCAGAGGCGGCTGCAGAGGGAACAAAGGAGCCAGTGTCTGGCTGCACAAGAGCCCATGTTGTGTATTTGGGTCCCTTCTAACTCAGCCTCTCTCTTGCGGAGGCCAGACAGAGCCGCGAGCAGTGTTCCCCGTACACGGTGTGCTTGGGCGGCCATTCAGGAGAAATTCAAATGTCGCCCAGCTGGGCAGCAGAGCGCCCACAGCTAGACTTTTATTTTCTTGCTGGTGGTGCACTTTACACATGCCATGGTGTGCATAAAATTTATTCTGCAAATGGATGGAAAAGACTAGAGAGAACATTGACTGTGACCCCCTTGGAAATGATGCAGAGACTGCGGGGGGATCCTGCTCGGCATACCCCCAGCAGTCCCAATTGGCATGCCCTGAGAATTGTGGGGGATACACCATTCAGCATGCCCTGGAGGGACCACTATGCTCATGGGACCACAGGGCGACCCCTGGGCATGCCCTAGCAACTATGGGAGTACCCCATTCAGCATGCCACAGAGACCCACTTGCCATGCCCGGGGACCACAGGAGGACTCCATCCAGCAGCCCTAAGTGGGCCCGTCTGTTTTGTCAATTGGCATGCTCTCAGTGCAGCAGGCGGGAGAGGACCGGGGGGGAGGGGAGAGGGGCCAAGGGCTAGTCTGGAGCCGGGCACAGGATGGCTGAGGTTCATAGGAGCCACAGTGCAGCAGAGAAGCCCCCGGCAGGGGCTCAGAAGCGCCCAGTCCAGGGCCCAAGGCGCTGACTCCGCAGTCTCTGGAGGGTCCCCTCAGGCTCCAGGGTAGGTGGGCTGTGGTGGGAGATAGGGTGGGGGCGCTGTGGAGGAAAGAGATGGACAGTCATTCAGCAGAATGGAGTGCAGCGGGTGAGAGGCTCCCATGTGCTTTGGGATAAGGTGAGTGGACGAGGCTGCAGCACACCCAGCCGATAGGCTCAGGGACCCACCTGTTGCTATGGCCAGCTAAGGGCACGCTTCACTCTAGGGCTGACTGAACTGCTGGGCCCCTGGGCAAGGTGGGGTGGGCACCACTCTGTGCTCCCGGAGGGGCCGGGCCGAGGGCAGCCAGCCCTCAGCACGACATCCCTCCCAGCCAGCACTTTGTGCCTCCCAGACCGTGCTGCCCAGGGCTCCGGTGGTGATATATAGGCCTCAGGGCAACTGCCCACTTTGGACCCCCGTCAGCGGCCCTGGGTTAGGGTAGGGATTCCAGCCCAGCTCCCCAGGGCCATCAATTCGGAGTCTGCTGCAGAGATGCATTAGCAATGGCCATGCTATGCGCAGCTAAGGCCCCCACAGCACTCTCACTCCAGCACTGAGCAGGGAACCTGCCTCTGAGCCGTCCAGGGTCAGACCGTTCCCCTGCCCTAGCGCCAGAATCCCCCTCTTCCCAGCCATGGGGTCATTTTAGAAGCTTCATGCTGCCACCAAGGGCCTGTCTCTACTAGCCCAGAATGGGCTCGGCTTGAGCGCTCGCCCCACAGCGCCCTCGCCAGGGAACGCACGCCAGGGAGTGGTCGGGTGCCGTGCTACCTACAGACAAGCTTCCCGGGGCTGCTGCCTCCCAGCAAGGAGAAGCAGACAAGCTCTGAAGAGTAGGAATCCAGCACAGCCCTGGGCAAGTGGAGCTCATAAGCTGAGGGGTGAATTCAGACCCTGGGGAGCACAAGTGGGTCAAGGAGGCACGACAGCACTGCCAGAGGCACTTGGCGACAGCACGGGCACATGGCAAAGCGGCATGGGGAACAATGCAGATGCCCCCTCTCCTACATGGGGAACAATGCAGACGCCCCCTCTCCCACATGGGGAACAATGCAGACGCCCCCTCTCCCACAGGGGGAACAATGCAGACCCGCTGGGATGGACGGGAGGAGTGCTGGCCTTTTCTGAATATCCCAGCATTCAGTGACTAAATGGTTAAACTCAGGCAGCTAGGGGGTATTGGTAGGGAGCTCGGAGAGCCAATGGGAGGAGGTGTTGAGATCTGAATTGGAAGATATACCCACCTGTTGTTGTTGTTTGTGTGAGTTTAGAGCCAGAAGTTGGGGGAACAAGAGGAATTGAATCAAGCAGAACTACCACGGGCATGGAACTGGACTGGATCTTGAAGCACAGATCATGAGTAGATAGGGAAATGTCTACTGAGATGAGACCTGGTTATTTTCATTCTTTTGGGCTGTGTCTAGACTGGCAAGGTTTTCTGGAAAATCATCTGCTTTTCCGGAAAAACTTGCCAGCTGTCTACACTGGCCGCTTGAATTTCCGCAAAAGCACTGCCGAGCTCATGTAAAATCATCAGTGCTTTTCCAGAAAAACTGTGCTGCTCCCGTTCGGGCAAAAGTCTTTTTCCAAAAGACTTTTGAGCAAAAGGGCCAGTGTAGACAGCATAGTACTGTATTCCGCAAAAAAGCCCCGATCGCGAAAAAGGCGATCGGGGCTTTTTTGCGGAATACAGTACTATGCTGTCTACACTGGCATGAATTTCCGAAAATGCTTTTAATGGAAAACGTTTCCGTTAAAAGCATTTTCGAAAATTCATGCCAGTGTAGACGTAGCCTTGTTGTTTGGTTATACTTCTCTGTGCTGAGTCCACGTGCCACCCCACTGTACTTTAAGCGGAATCCCAAGGATGGAATTTTCTCTGTTTTTAAATTGGGGGGGGGGGCAGTTGCTTTAAAACACCTAGCAACCAAGTATGCTTTATCAAGTATATCTTTTTGTTTTGTTTAATAAAATCACCTTTTTTAAGGCGATGATTTGCTTCTTGTGCCCTGGAAGGTAACAGGAGCTCTGTGTGTACATGCCTAGTCTGAGAGGTTAGCTATCAGAGATTACAGAGGTTAGCTATCAGAGATTGTTTTCGCTTTGGCTATGTCTAGACTGCAGGCTTCTTTCGAAAGAGAAATCCGCTTTTTCGAAAGAGAGCTCCCAGCGAGTCTGGATGCTCTCTTTCGAAGACGGCCTCTTTACATTGAAGAATGCCTTCTTTCGAAAGAGGAACTTTCGAAAGAAGGCGTTCTTCCTCGTAAATTGAGGTGTACCGCCATCGAAAGAAAAGCCGCGTTCTTTCGAAATAATTTCGAAAGAACGCGGCTTGAGTCTGGACGCAGGGGAAGTTTTTTCGGGAAAAGGCTACTTTTCCCGAAAAAACCCCTGAGTCTGGACACGGCCTTTTTGTTCAAGCTTTCTTGTGTTAGGAGGGAGCAGGCGAGACCCAGGGCCCCTACTTTGAAGGGACACACCTCGGTAAAGAAGAGCTTCAAGCAGTTTTGTGGTTCCTACTGCTCTTACCTGTTGGGTTGTAAAGTGGGTGGCCTGCTGGGTACATCGGATACTGTGCTGCAGGGGCCGTGGGGGCATACATGGCCATGGGGGCATAGCCTGGCTGGGGAGGTGCAAAGCCTGCTTTGGGATCCACAGGGTAGGTGCATGGTGGCTGAGCTGGGTAGCTGTACAATGGGATCTCCTGGCCTGTACGACAAAGACAAGATTTCCTGAAGCCCCCGAGTGAGCCGCCAGTGCTGCTCTCCTGCTGCAAAGCAGGGGCACGCTGCAGCAAATTGCCATTTTAAAAACCTAGACAATTACACATAATCACTTATGGTAAAAAAAAGAGTAAAGTTGCAAAGTTAAAAACTCAGAAGTTAGGAAATTCCAGAAATGAGGTTGCGTATGCAACCTTGACGCAGCCCCCCTTGCACGTATGCACGATGGTACATGAGCATGTTGATTTTTCCCCAGGACCTGTGCCGCATTCAATACTCAGGATGGACAGTATTTTCTTCAATATTTTCTTCCCTCCTGGACATACATACTACAGGCACCCTAGCCACATCCCTCTCCTGTCTCCCCCACCTAGAGCCAAAGAGAACTAAACCAACCAACATTTTCCAAGTACGCCCTTTGGATGCCCCCTCTGCTCCTCCTCCTGGGCCCACCCTGCTCTTCCCAGGCTGTAGCAGCAGACGGGAATGGTGTTGCAGCCCCTACCGTGGAAGGGTGTCCGCGTGTGCTGCCGTCTCTGGTACAGGTAGCAGCAGGAGCACATGAAACAGCAGATGATGGTGGCAACGATGGCCACAAAGAGGACCACGGCGGAGGCGATGCCAGCGATGGTCTTTGGGCTGTGGGGCACAAGTAGACACGATTACAGGGCAGTCTCAGGTAGCGGCCTGAGGGCCCAACACTGCCGGGCCCTGGGCCAAGTAAATCCTTCCCACATGCCGTTCACGGGCCCCCTCCAAGGCTGTGGAGATGAAAGGGTTAATGGGTAAGTTTGGGGGGGGCGCCTGGCTAGGACTTGGGACCCCATCCTCAACCCGGAGAATGCCCCCACCTGACATTCTGGGCAGCACTTTGATGGAGGAGAGGCTGCCTGTGTCAGGAGTCGCTGAAGACCCAGCTCATAGAGCAGAGAGTGCAATGGAGAAGAGAAAGGCAGCCGTGCAGAGCTCGCCTAATGTCTTTGCCCTACTCCTCAGCCAAAGCTCTGTGGGCTTCCTTCCGCTGCGGAGATGAGAGACCTGCTGCCACCGGCGTCTGGGACCCGCATGGGAACAGGGGCGCACTGGAGCACAGCGCATGCCACGTAGCACTGCCCCCGCCATGCACCGCCACGCCTCACACCTACAGGGCCGTGCATGCCTAGTACACAGCCACACGCCACCATCGCCCCGCCTACGTGGCCAGGCCCCACACCCTGACCTCCTCCCTCAGCCCCTCCCCACCCCCCATCTCCAACCTGAATCCGTCTGCCACCCTTCCCCCTTTGTTCTGCCTTTATCCAGGGCCCTCACCCCTCGTACAAATCCTCCCTTGAGTCTCCCACCCCAGCTTCCTCTGCTTTTGCTTCCCCCTCCACGCCTGGCCACTGTGGCTACTCAGGGGGCCTCAGGCCTGCCACCATCGCTGAGTTGTGCTGGCTGCAAAGCGTGGCATTTTCCAGCCATGGCTGGTGAGCACGCTGAGCCCTGGCCTGTCTGGGGCTACCCTGCATTCCCGCTGCCAGGCCCCAGTAGGGCAGCGTGGCGAAGATACAGCGGGCGGCTCAGGCTGTGCGCAGACAACACCCCCTCGCTCTGCTCTGCGCAGGTTCCCAGCTGAGTGGGGCCAAACGCAATCTCACTCCTTAGCTTCAGAGACACCCCCACTGCAGGCACGTGGAACGCCGAGCTCACCGGAGCAAGGGGCTGGTTGGAGAGCTCAGAGCAAACACCAATATCAGCCGCTTCCTCCCGCATCGAAGCCCAGGTGCCTGGCACAGCAGGGGGCCCTGCGGGGACATGGACCCCCTGTGCCATCTTACTCTGCATCAAGGGTGGGCAGGTGACTCTCTGGTTGCACCCTGGTCACTAGCCACACATGTTCAGTAATGACACCTCCTGCGATAGCAGCTTACGTGGCACACTCGCCCCTGATACTCATCTGCTGTGCATGGAGAGGAAGTCAGAGCAAGGGCACTCCACAGAGAGGCCCCGATTCAGCACTGCACTCTGGCCTATTTATTCCAGCTCCAGTGGCACAGCGAATTCCTCTGGCTTGGGGGAAACCCTGCAGAAGACAACGCCTTTGTAATGGCTCTGCATTGCCTTCACTGCTCTGGCCCAGGGATGTGCTGAGGACAAAGGGAGCATGGCCAGAGCATTGTGTAACCGCCACCGGGTGGGTTTGAACCTGGGACCTCGGGAGCTGAATCTAGGAGCCTCCATCGTCTGAGCTAAAAGCCAGCTGGCTCCCAGCCCCTGCTGTAGAGGTCTCTTGATCTTAACTGCGGCTGAGGTCTAGGTGCCACTTGCATTGCTCAGTAACCACACTAGGGCTATGTCCACACTCACGGCTTCTTGCACGAGTAATATGCAAATGAGGCTAAGCGTGGAATATCGCCGAGCCTCATTTGCATGCCTAATGAGCCACCATTTTTTTCAGAAGAGGCTCTTGCGCCAGAAGGAGTGTCTACACTGCCCCTTCGTGCGCAAGAAAAACCCTCTTGTGCAATGCCGTTCTTCCTGAAAAGTAATAGGTGTAAGGGCATTGCGCAAGAGGGTTTTTCTTGCACAAGAGCCTCTTCTGAAAGAAATGGTGGCTCATTAGGTATGCAAATGAGGCTCGGCGATATTCCACGCTTAGCCTCATTTGCATATTACGATAGCCTAGGCGTGTGGGTTACAATTGCTCTGCTCTGCCTCCCTCTGACAGGTGTCAGGGATAGAGACAGCTCAGCCCTCTGACAGGAATGGGCCACCCACCGGCCCCGGGGGGAGGAGCAGCCCCTTTGCAGTACTCCCCCCTCCATAAGGAAGTGGGGTGGGCTGTAATGTAACAGGGTCAGTATGGGCAACAGTTCTTCCATCCCCAGGCCCCCGCCTGGCAGTGCCCCACGGATCAGTCCCCCCATTCCTCAGCATCTGAACGGAGCCACAAAAAAAGCTGGGGAGACAGGATGGAGTGAAGGGCCCCAGCTGTCCACCTCAGAGCCAGCCGGTGCCGGCTCTCCTCATGCTGAACTCAGAGCCTGTCTGAGAAGCCGACGCCAGCCCATGCAGAGCTGATGCTGGTGGGAAGTGCTTGGGAAAACTCAGGTCCTCTGACCCCTGCTATTGATGGCTCTGCTTGCAGGACATCAGTCAGCAGCTTGGGGGTCCTTCTGGGCTCTTTAAAGCCACCGGTGCTCCAAGAATGCCAGCAGCAAATGCAATTGCGGGTGCCCTACTTCCCACAGCAGAGCTGGCCAACACAGGCCCAAGCTCGATTATCCCAACTTGCTGCACTGGGGGATGAAAGCACAGGGCCTGGAAAAGCTCCCGAACACAGCTGCACAGAGCACCAGAAACACAGGCAGTGCTGCCTCCTCACACAACACAAAGGCAAGGACTCTGTCCAGTCAAAGCCCCATAGTACCAGTCCTCCCGACTTGAGACTTCCTCAGTGCAAGTCGCACCTCTCTACAGCAGCCCGACCCAGACTGTGCAGCGCCCTCCTGGCATGACACACCCAGCACCTCCTGCTGCACGTGGAGCTCCTCACACACACGCACCAACACCCAGCCAGGCGGGAAGGGTGAGGAAGAGACACGGCTGCTCTTTGCTATTTTTAACTGATGGGAGGGAGGTATCCAGATTCTGGGCTGGGGGGCCAGCAGCCAAGCAGCTAGACCAGGGATCTCTTAGCTTGCCCTGCCGCCCTCCGCTTCCCCTGCAGCTACGGCCATTGCAGGGGGTGCAAGAGGTGGGGGTCATGACCACTGAAACCAAATAGTGCCAGCCCCTCCCAGTGATCCCCAAAGCTATGTCATGGGGGGAGAGGGCGGGGCGATGGTGGGAAGGGGTGGGGCTTTTGGGGCTGGTGATGGATAGCTTCCCCTTCCCCCCATTGCCCAGTTGGAGTCGCTCTGACTGGGGATGGTCCACAGGCCAGGAGTTCGAGACCCCTGGTCACAGTGACAGCGGAGAGATGTCAAAGGCCACAATGCACACACAACTCAAGGGGGGCATGGGCATAGGAACATAACATAAGAATGGCCATAATGGGTCAGACCAAAGGTCCATCTAGCCCAGTATCCTATCTTCTTCATGCAGAGATGAACACATCAGCGAATCTTCAAGCAATCCCTCTCCCGTCACCCATTCCCAGTATGACAGAGGCTAGGAATACCATTCCTACCCATTCTGGCTAATAGCCACTGATGAACCTAACCTTCATGAATTTATCCAGTTCCTTCTTGAACCCTGCCAAAGTCCTGATCTTCACAACATCCTCTGGCAAGGAGTTCCACAGGTTGACTGTGAACTGCGTGAAGAAAAACTTCCTTTTGTTTGTTTGAAACCTGCCTCCTATTAATTTCATTTGGTGACCCACAGTTCTTATGTCATGGGAACAAGTAAATAACTTTTCCTTATTCTCTTTTCCAGTTATGATTTTATAGACCTCAATCCTACTCCACCCCCATCCCCTCCTTTCTAAGCTGAAAAGTTCCAGTCTTTTAAATTTCTCTTCATATGGGAAATTACTTTACATTTGGCAACATTCAATTTCATTTGCTATTTTGTTGCCCAATCACTTAGTTTGGGGAGATCTTCTTGAAGCTCTTCACAGTCTGCTTTGCTCTTAACTATCTTGAGCAGTTTAGTATCATCTGCAAATTTTGCCACCTCCCTGTATACCGCTTTCTCCAGATCATTTATAAATAGGTTGAATAGGATGGGTCCCAGTACGGATCTTTGGGGGACCTCACTAGTTGCCGCTCTCCATTCTGAAAACTGACCATTTATTCCTACCTTTTCTTTCATGTCTTTTAACCATTTATCAATCCATCAGAGGACTCTCCCTCTTATCCCATGACAACTAACTACTTAAGAGCCTTTGGTGATGGACCTTGTCAAAGGCTTTTTAGAAATCCAAGTACACTATATCCACAAGCTCCCCCCTTGTCCATGCATTTGTTGACCCCCCTCAAAGAATTCTAGCAGATTAGTAAGGCATGATTTCCCTTTACAGAAACCATGTTGACTCTTCCCCAACAAATTATGTTCATCTACGTGTTGTAGGAGAAAGAAATAGCTTGAAGCATGGGTTGGTGCTTGAACCAAAGTAAGCAAAAATTATGCTATGAGTAATACACAGGCCATGTCAAAAGCATTTGTTTGCCTGCAAATCAGCGTCTCTCGGCACTAGAACTGCTAGCACTGCTAAAAGTACATGAAGTATGTAAATGCATTCCACTAGGACAGTACAGGGACACCCAGCTGAGTACATGATAAAACAGTTTCAAACAACTGAAGCAAAAGCCTAACAACGGTAGTGAATGCTTTGGAGGAAAATACAAGGGGAGATACCAAACATGTCATTAGTGCATAAGATAATACATACAGGGTGTATCATAAATTGTTCATTTCTGGTTATAAATATTGGGGTACCTCACTTAACACTTTGGCCAGCCTAGGGAGCGATAGTAAAATCCATACTATCGATTAAGCTGTGTCCATTGTCCCGGGTACAAATATTAGGGGCTTGGAGGCCATCTGGCTACCAACAACTATTAATGTACTTCGTTCGACAATAAACTTGACTCAGGTGCCTTTGTATCTTATCTGAGTCTGCTGTCTTTAGGGGTTTTCATAAAGTCTATAATGCTAGCTACCTGCGCAGAGCTGGCATAATATTATACCGAGGGAGCATATGGAAAACACACATAGCCAAACGTTTATCATCACTAATGGAGCAGGAGACCTGTCAGGACACGACACCAGTAAATCCTAAATTTACGGTATCACTGTCCTGAACTACTACATTGGTGACCCCAAGCACGGATCTGGTAATTAAGCTGCAGGAATCATGATCTAACACGGCAGAAAACCATGTGTTAGGGAACCCTCTCATCCCCACAGAGGTTGCTGAAGCATGAACCCGCTGGATTGCCGGTAAAGGGGCTCCATTTAAATTTTACAAAGAAAGTGGGGAAACATGAACTGACATTTGTAAAGCAATGGTAGAAACTGAAGCTCTAAAAATAGTAATAAAAGTAAGAGAGCTAGAACTGGGTAATTAATGTCTATGGCAGTAAGATGGCTTAAACTGCATTCCACTCAACTAGCTTCCCAAGTAAATGCAAAAAATAAAGATCTAGAGGCTATTAAGCACTGGAAAACTCAGGCAGAACAACAGGCGGTCCAGACATATAATTTGCTCAAACAAGTAAAGTAGGAAAATAAGAAACTGGGAAAAGCTGTTGAAAACCTGCAAAAGAAAGTAGCAGCATCCCCTGTCACTAAACAACAAACTGCAAGCACTTTCACAGTGCCTGAAACATGGGGACAGAAATGGAAACAGGAGGCCCTAGCTAAACTAAAAAATGAAACGTGAAACAATTGCTGTACTAGGGACATATGGAATGACCCTAATGGGCCATCCTCTATTGACCCCCTGGGCAAGAGCTACCACACCAAGATCTCCACCTTACGATATGAGCCAGGTTTTGGAAAACACTCCATCCAAACCTGGATCAATTCCTGTTAAAATAGAAAGCAGAATAAATGAGAAAATACAATTGAACAGTGAAAGACTAGAAAACCACACCTCACATCCACTATCCCAAAGAACTCCTGAAAACTCTCCAATAAGTAAAATATTAAAAAAAAAAAAATACCACTCAACAAAAAGGGGGAGGGACAGCTCGGCTGGTACCTGGGGGTCCCACAGCTGTGTGCCACGTCCAGGTCTCAAGAAGCATGTGTACTACTTCCCCCTCCCCAAACAGCCAGCATGTTTCCTGAACAGCTGGGTCTGTCGTGCGCTGGTGACTTCCTTCCCTCTGCTGCCTTCCTGTGGAGGGGGAGGGGTGTAAGAGTCCCGGGACTCTCCCCCTCCCCTTCCCCCATGCAGGAAGGCAGCAGGGGAAGGAAGTCATCGGTGCATGACAGACCCGGAGTTTCAGGAAACATGCCAGCTGTTTGGGGGAGTGGGGAGCAGCAACTTTCCGTTAAAAGTATTTGTGCAAAATCATGCCAGTCTAGACGCAAGCAAACAGTAAAAGCAATAAAATCAAAACAGCCATCCGCAGTGCCAAAGGGCTGGAAAAATTGGGAAACAAAACCACAGAAGGTCAGGGCAGCAAAATCCCTTAATACTGGAAAGGTACAAACCTCAGTAACACTTTAATGTGCCTCTGTATATCAAACAATACCCAATATCTCAGGAAGCTAAAACAATCTTTGACCTGTCAGGACACCACACCAGTAAATCCTAAATTTACAGTATCACTGTCCTGAACTACTACATGTGCCTGACAATTAATTTGCTTGGTATTGACATTAGATTTACCAATCTGTAATTGCCAGGATCACCTTTAGAGCCCTTTCTAAATATTGGCAGCAAATTAGCTATCTTCCAGTCATTAGGTATGGAAGCTGATTTAAAAGATAGGTGACAAACCACAGTTAATAGCTCTGCAATTTCACATCTGAGTTCTTTCAGAACTCTTGGGTGAATGTTATCTGATCCCGGTGACTTGTTACAGTTAAATTTATCAATTTGTTCTTAACCTCCTCTAATGACACCTCAAGCTGGGACAATTCCTCAGATTTGTCACCTCAAAAGAATGGCTCAGGTTTGGGAATCTCCCCAACATCCTCAGCTGCAGACCAAAGCAAAGAATTCATTTAGTTTCTCTGCAATGATCTTATAGTCATTGAGTGCTTCTTTGGCATCTCGACTGTCCAGAAGCCCCCATTGTTTGTTTAGCAGGCTTCCTGCTTCTGATGTACTTAAAACATTTTGCTATTACTTTTTGAGGTTTTGGCTAGCTGTTCTTCAGACTCCTTTTTGGCTATCTTTATTATATTTTTACACTTAATTTGACAGAGTTTATTATGTTCCTTTCTATTTTCCTTACTGGGATTTAACTTCCACTTTTTAAATGATACCTTTTTATCTATCATTGCTTCTTTTACTTGGTTGTTAAGCCACGGTGGCACTTTTTTGGTTCTCTTACTGTGTTTTTTAATTTAGGGTATACATTTAAGTTGGGCCTCTATTATGGTGTCTTTGAAAAAATTCCATGCAGCTTGCAGGGATTTTACTTTTGTCACTGTACCTTTTAATTTCGGTTTAACTAACCTCCCCATTTTTGTATAGTTCCCCTTTCTGAAATTAAATGCCACAGTGTTGGACTGATGAGGTGTTTTTCACCACAAGGATGTTGCATTTTATTACATTATGGTCACTACTTCCAAGTGGTCCAGTTATATTTACCCCTTGAACCAGATTTTGTCCCCACTTAGGCTAAATCAACAATTGCCTTTCCCCTTGTGGGTTCTAAAACCAGCTGCTCCAAGCAGCAGTCATTTAAGGTATCAAGAAATGTTCTCTCTGCATCCCGTCCTGAGGTGATGTGTACCCAGTCAATATGGGGATAGTTGAAATCCCCCATGGGTCTTCAACTCCTGGAACTGGAGGCAGGAGGCTTCTACCTATAACCCTCCTGACACTCCCTCTCTGCAAGGATCCAGTTCTTCCCAGGAGAAGCGGTGTGCCCAGCCAGGAGCTCTGGCTAGGCTCTATGCTCCCTCACCTGAAAGCAAGACAGTGCTTCTGCTGTCGCTCCGTGATAAGCTTCAGGGGGTCCATGCAGCAATAGCGCTGGTAACAGTTACCACAGCAAAAGGTGAAGAAATTGCAGTCAAAGCCAGGGTGCCATGAGCCATTCTTGTCCAAGTACCACAGGCAGTCTTCATCTGCCAAGCCTGTGGAGAGAGAAGCCAGTTTCCACAAAGAGCCACTGTCCAACCCACCAGCCCGGCAATCAGAAGGCAGGCAGGGTCTGGGAAGCGCTATGCAAGTCCAGCCTTCCTGCTGCCCCTTTGCTAGCTCAGTGCTGGTGGCAAAGAGCAGGTGTCCGGGACAACACTGGTTCTTGCTGCAGCAGACTGCCATGGCCTCTGCTCAGAGTTACCAACTGGGGAAGCTTTCCAAGGACTAGTCCCGAACTGGCAGGAGCGGGACGTTTGCAGCTAATGCCATGGTTACGGGGGCACAGCTCAGAGGCCCAGCTGGGGATGAATGGATGAATTGCCCTCTCTAGACTAGAGCCTCAGGATCAGTCCCTTTCTGACTGCCTTGTATCAGGCTAGGGCATCCATGATGGATGGGTCCTGAGGTGAAGCACAGACCCACACGGCAGCAGGTACCTTGTGCGTAGAATACAGGTTGGGATAGGGACTCCATGCAAGCTCCTGCCTCCACCCCAGTCATCCAGAGAAGAGCTAAAGGTAAAAACACCTCAGGACAGCAGGCAGGAAAGAAAAGCAGAGGCCTGCGGACTGGACTCCTCACAGGCACAGGAAGTGCCTCACGGAAAGCCACTCCAGCTCACCCCACACCTGGCTTTGCAGTTCGGATGGCTGAGTTTTCCGTTAAAAAAAAAAAAAAAGTTTTCCGTTAAAAGCATTTTCGGAAAAGCGCGTTTAGATTGGCAGGACGCTTTTCCGCAAAAGCACTTTTTGTGGAAAAGCGTCCGGGGCCAATCTAGACGCGCTTTTCCGCAAAAAAGCTCCGATCACCATTTTCATGATCGGGGCTTTTTTGCGGAAAACAAATCTCTGCTGTCTACACTGGCCCTTTGCGTAAAAGTTTTTTGGAAAAAGACTTTTGCCCGAACTGGAGCAGCAATCTTACATGAGATCGTCAGTGCTTTTGCGGAAATTCAAGCGACCAGTGTAGACAGCTGGCAAGTTTTTCCGGAAAAGTGGCCAGTCTAGACACAGCCAGGTTGTATTGTAATTTTTAAAAGGGCTTATGCCCATAGTACAGGAAAATGATCCATTCTTCAGGATCACAAAGCTATGGAAGGAAGATTTGACTGAAGAAGGGGTACAAACCTAGGAAAAATGTGTTTTGGATCCAAGCAGTTAGTGCACATTGTTTCCATTAGGACAAAAGGGTCATTTGAATCATCGGCCCATTCATTCAGCTGAAACCATTTGCTGAATTTGACCCACGTTTGCAAATAATTTTGAGGGTCCTGAACTACCCACCTCTAATATCCACCAGCCCAGGCTCTTTGCTTCCACCTCCAAGACAGCTGCCCCCCAACTTGTTCTTCCGGTGAGCTGTGTTTTGATGCACCACTACACACGCCTCCCCAAAGCAACGCTGAGGCTGGACAGCTAACAGCGGTTTGACTTTCCTTTCCCCGCTATGTAATGATAAAGCTGATCACACCCATGCATGGGCTGCAGGTGAAACTTCCCCTTGAGGATGCTAGTCCCAGCGTGCCTCTTCCAGCAGAGCCCTGCCCCCCACTTGCCACTCTCAGCCCCTCCCTCCTACCCCCCATGGTCCCAGCCCGGGGCTGAGCTCTCAGCCTCTGCAGGGGCTACAATGGGCTCTCTGGCCTGGCTGGAGCACAGAGTCTGGAGCCTCTTCCCGTTCCACCCACAGCCTGCCCCCTCACCCCAGCAAGGCCAAGCTCCTTGCTCACTACTCTTCTCCCATCCCTGGCCCTGAGACCTGATAAGTTCTGTGCCCCGGCCGTGGCTCTGGAGCCATCGTGACGTGCGAGAGATTTTTTTGGGAGGCCCCAAATCCGTCACTGTCTCCCCCTCGGTGGTGCGAGGTTTGGGAGCCTTTGTCCCTGGCCTCCATTACGTGCCACCTCTCCAGTCACGTAAGAGCCTGTTTCTGCGTAGAGATCACTAGGGGTGTGTCTAGACTACATGCCTCCTTCGACGGAGGCATGTAGATTAGCCAGATCGGAAG